TAACTGTCTAACTGTGTATTCCCCGCCTCCTGCCAACTGTGAGTTCTGTGAGGATGGGCTCTGTCCATCAGAGTCATTGCTGTACATGTGTTCTGTGTGTGCACGTGTACACGTATATACATGTCTGGGCATGTTGTGTGTGTATGCACATGTACTGTGTGTGTATGTGTATATGTGCTATGTTTATATATGTATATTTATGTTGTCTGTATGTATATGTGCTATTATATGTGTTTGCTATATGTTTATCTATATGTATATGTGCCTAAATATATGTGCTATTGTATATGTAGTATGTTTATATTGATATATATATATGACACGTGCTGTGTGTGCTATATGTAGGTATATGTTGTGTGTGCACGTATATGTATATATGCTATTATGTATGTGTATGTGTTCTCTATATATAGAACTATGTAAGTGGCACGTAGTATAAATTTGTTAAATATTATTTAAACTTGTGTTGAACCTAAAGGAAAGACTTCTGACTGTAGCCACAAGGCACCTTTGGAGGTTGGTATCTGTGTGACATGGTACCACGCTCCCACTGTGGCTACAAAGAAATGTGGGAGAAAACAATCTCCTCCGAACCACCCAAAAAGAATACAGAGCTGAAAGATGAAAGACGGGAAGGGAAATCTCCAGGTGCCCCAGGAAACTTGCAACTAGAGCTGGTGCCAATGGCCCAAGGTACATCAGACAGGTAGAGGCTCCAGGGGGCAGGAGCTAGGTGGGGCTGGGGCGAGGAAGGGGAGAGGGGCTGAGAGGTAGCCTTGGGGCAAAATAAGGAGGAGAGAGCTTGATCAGGGGGAACTCCATGAGGCCAGAACCTGGGAGGACCCCGCTGCTTAAAGAAAGCAATGTCCACCCCAATGTCTTTAGGACCTTCTCCCTGCCTTAGGGAGAAGGGGAAGGGAAGGGGGCTGGGTGGAGGGTGAGTGGAGTTGGACACCAATTCGAGTAACCAAAGCCCCAAATTTGTACCATTCACAGGTGTAGAATCTGAATTTACACCAAATCTCCAAGCCAAGAAATTCAGAGGCTTCCCAGGTGGCGCAGTGGTTAAGAATCCGCCTGCCAATGCAGGGGACACAGGTTCGAGTCCTGGTCCAGGAAGATCCCACATGCCGCCGAGCAACTAAGCCTGTGCACCACAATTATTGAAGCCCTGCGCTCTAGAGCCCGCGAGCCATAACTACTGAAGCCCGCACGCCTAGAGCCTCTGTTCTGCAACAAGAGAAGCCACCGCAATGAGAAGCCCACGCACCGCAACAAAGGGTACCCCTGCTCGCCACAACTAGAGGAAGCCCACATGCAGCAATGAAGACCCAATGCAGCCAAAAACTTTTTTAATTAAAAATTTAAAAAAAAGAAATTCAACAAAATCCAAGTCTTGGACCAGTGAAATCCTTTGAAATCCCAAAAGAAGTCAATGCCAAATGTATGAGTAGCAAAACTTTGGCAACCTAGTGGGTCTCGCATAAGAAGAAGTAACGTTATTCCTGTAGAAGACAGTCTCGTATTTGCAAAGCACATGGGGAATGAATAGGGAGATTAGGAAACATTAATTAAAAATTGATATCAGATCAAATAAACTTTAAGGCTAAAAAAGTATTAAAGATGAGGAAGGTCACTACATAAAAGGTACAATTCACCAGGATCATATAATATTCTTGGATTTGTATACACTTAACAAAGTTTCAAAATAGGTGAAGGAAAGAGAAAAATGACAAAACTACAATCATAATTGGTTAATATTTGTAAAAGACAAAAAATTAATCAGGATACAGATCACTTAAACAATGCAATTTTAAAAGCTTAATCAAATAAGTTAATAAAGTAAACAGAGGGACTTCCCTGGAGGTCCAGTGGTTGGGACTTGGCCTTCCAATGCAGGGGATGTGGATTGGATCCCTGGTCAGGGAGCTAAGATCCCACATGCCTCGTGGCCAAAAAAACAAATTCAATAAAGACTTTAAATAAATAAATATGCAGAAATTGGCCATCTCTTATGCTACCAAGTGAGTCTCACAAATACCAAAAAATTGACCACATTATCTGACCGCAACACAATATTAGAAACCAATAACGAGAAGACAGCCAAAGCATGTATTGTAAAATGTATTTCTAAATAATTTATGGAAATTTAAAATTCAAATTTAAAATGTTTTAAATGGTTTTAATTTGTAAAATTTTAGATATCAAAAACAATGAAGACACTACATATCAAAACTCATGAAACATCTAAGGAAATACTTAGTAGCATATTGATAGCCCTAAATACCTATTAGAAAAAGAACATTTGAAAGTTAATTACCAGAGAATTCAACACAAGAAGCTGCAAAAAGAATCACAAGGTAAATCCAAAGAAAGCGGAAGAAATAAAAGCATAAACTGAGAAAATGGGAAGCAAAGAAACAACAGAGTTGATTTTTTTAAATGATAGTTCTTGAAAACAAACCTCTGGCAAACTGATAAAGAAAAAAAAAGAGCAAAGTCACAAATTTAAAATGGCAAATAGAATTGAGGTTTTAAAAATTGTAAAAGAATACCATGTAAAGTATTATACCAATAAATGTGGAACCAGAAAGCATGAGCAATTTTCTAGAAAAATAACTTTACTTACTTTAACTCAAGAAGAGAATGAAAATCTAAATAAACCTAAAATATTAAATAAATTGGAGTTTTGGGGTTTTTTTTCCCAAAGCCATGAGTATCCACTAACACTCACATAAAAATTACCAGACCAGATGGTTTTACCTTCTGCCAAATGTTCAAAGAAAGATAATCCTTACATGACACAAATTGTTCTAGAGGGTAGAGAAAAAGGACTCTCTCTCCAAGTAATTTTATGAAGCAGTATAACCTTACAGCTTTGAAATAAAAAACAGACAAAGATAGCACCAGAAGGGAAAATTATGGGCCAATTTCACTTATGAACACAGATGAAAATTTTCTAAATAAAATCAGAACAACAGGAGGTTAAAAAAAGAAAAAGACACAGCAAGGTAGAAATGGTTTATCTTAGAAATATAAGGATGAATGAACACCAGAAAATGTATCAATATATATTCACCACATAAATAGACTAAAGGAGAAAAAAGAGAAAATTATTAAGTAGACACCACAGGAAAAAATCATGATAAATTTCATCATTCATTTATTTAAAAAAAACTCTTAAAAAACTAAGAGGGGAACTTTCTCACCTTGATAAAAGATACTACCAAAACCTTAGAGCAAATACCATATCTAATGGAGAAACATTAGACACATTTTTTTTAAGATTATCAGGGAGATAAATGTGCCTGATTCCAGTCATTGTTCAGCATAATGCTAGGTGTTCTGGGCTATGCTATAAGACATGAAAAAGAAATTAGAGGTATGAGGACAGTTACACAGAAAATCAAAATACTCAACATACAAAGTGATAGAAATGATAAACTAAATAAGGTCATTTGCCTGATTAATAAAAACTACAAAAATCATCAGTGTGTCTCTACACCATCAATAATCAACAGGAAGATATCCTGTAGCCATGATGGAGTAACTGGTACTAGACTAGCCCTCCCACTGTGAACAACCAAAAAACTAAAGAAAACATAAGAAACAACTGTTTTCAGATATTGGACAAGAGGCATCCCAGGACTACAGTCTCTGAGACAAGAGAAATATGAGGTGAGCTCTAGTATCACCCCAGCTTTCTGCTTGGAGCTACTCTCTGAACAGTGGTACAGGAAGTGGGGAAAGCCAGGCAGAGCATGGTGGTCTCCCTGAGTTAAAGGTAGAGAAGTCAGACTTTGGGGAGATTGAAGTGGCTGGAATTTGTGAGATGGAGTACCAGAGAGAAGGGAGCCAGCTACTCAGAGAAAGAACTGCAAAAATCTGCAGAGGGTCCCCTTGAGTCTTTGGTGGAAAAGTAGGCTGGGCATAGAAAGATGAAACTCCATGAAACTGGCAAAGAAAAACTACCTAGTAGCTGTCAGTTAAAAACTCCTGGGGGTTCACACAAAGCCACATATCCTTTATTTTTTCTTTAATATTTATTTATTTGGCTGCACGCAGTCTTAGTTGTGGCACACGGGATCTTTGTTGCAGCACGCAGGATCTTTTTTTTTAGTTGCAGCTTGCAAACTCTTAGTTGCGGCATGTGGTATCTAATTCCCTGACCCGGGATTGAACCCAGGTCCCCTGCATTTGGAGCACAGAGTCTTAGCCACTGGACCACCAGGGAAGTGCCCTGCCATATATACTTTAAAAACAACAACAGCGTGTTGATGTTGTAGGGACAGACAAACCAATGACACAGAATGGAGACTTCAAAAACAGTCCCATGTATAAATGAGAATATCCTGAAAACATACTGTTGAGTAAAAAAAACAAAAACAAAAAAAATAGCACAAATTCTAAATCTCAACATTTATGTAAATTAAAAATACTTTATGGGCAACCACCTGTTTTGAAAGATAATTAGATGTCTAAGGACGTATGTTAAACAGGTTAGAACAGGTGTGGGGAGGGAAGGGAGAAAGAGGATGGAATGAAGAGGGAAACTGAAACCAATAAATGATTTTATTTGATTTTCAGTGGCCTGATGATCCTGGTGCGTCATAAAGTCAGGGTATAAATAAACTGTTCTTTGCACCTGAGGTCCAGTTTAAAAAAATTAATTCACAGGGCTTCCCTGGTGGCGCAGTGGTTGAGAGTCCGCCTGCCGATGCAGGGGACGCAGGTTCGTGCCCCGGTCCAGGAAGATCCCACATGCCGCGGAGCGGCTGGGCCCGTGAGCCATGGCCGCTGAGCCTGCACGTCCGGAGCCTGTGCTCCGCAACGGGAGAGGCCACAACAGTGAGAGGCCCTCGTACCAAAAAAAAAAAAAAAAAAAATTAATTCTCAGAATTTGAAGATTTGGGGACAAAGGGCATCTGTAACAACTTGGCATCTGCAGTGGTGGACCTGCTGGCAGATCCAGGCAGGGTGGGAGCCATGGGGAACGGGTCATGGTCTGTTGCAAAAAGAACCCAGCGTGAGAGTCCTGAAAGAGGAAGATCGGGTGGGGGGCTCCCAGGAGTCCCCCGGGGTCCAAGCGACACAGAATCTCACGCTGGTCTATCTCCCTTCCATAGAATGAACAAGACTCTGAACAGCGGCCAGACCCCGGCAGCAAACTGGAACAGCACCGGGGTGCACGTGCTGGGCACGGCCCACTGGGTGCTGGGCGCCCTGGTCATGTTCACCTGCGTGGGCAGCATCATGGGCAACGGCCTGGTGGTCTGGCTGCTGGGCTACCATGGGCAGAGGGGTCCCTACAAAGTCTGCATCCTCCACCTGGCCGTGGCTGACCTCCTCGTCCTCCAGGCTCAGCCTAGAAAGCATCCCACTGGGGTGGGATGGGCCACGCATGGCCCACATGGGCCACGTGGCCGACCCACAAGGCGGTGGCCCAGGTGGCTGGCCTGAGCCTGCTGACGGCCATCAGCACGCAGCGCTGCATCTCTGTCCTCCTCCCCGTCTGGTACAAGTGTCACCGGCCCCCGCGCCTGCCAGGCACGGTGTGCGTCCCGCTCTGGGCGCCGCCCCTCCTGCTGAGCACGCTGGCCTCGCTCTGCGGCAGCTTCTGGCGCCGGGACGAATGGCAGTGCTTCACAGTGGACTTGATCGTCAGCATCCTCATCACGGGGATCTTCACGCCTGCGATGGCCACGGCCAGCCTCACCCTCTGCACGCAGGTGCAGAGAAGCTCCCAGCGGCGCCGGCCCACACGGCTGTACGTGGCCATCCTGGCCTCCGTCCTGGTGTTCGTCTGCGTCCTGCCCCTCGGCATCTCCGGGTTCCTCCTCTACTGGCTGGACCTGCCCCAGCGGATGAAGACTCTGTTCAGTCGCTTCGCCCGCCTCTCCCTGTCCGTGAGCAGTAGCGCCAACCCGGTCATCTACCTCCTGGTGGGCAGTCGGGGCGGCCGAGCCTGCGGGAGCCCCTGGGGGCCGTGCTGCACAGGGCGCTGTGGAAGGATCCCGAGCTGGAGGAGGGGCAGACGCTCTCCACTGGCACCAACGACGAGGCGGGGGGGTCTGAGAGCACCGCGCCCTGGACGCCGCCTGCCTGGCTGGCCGGCTGTTGGGAGCCCCGCAGGCTTTGCGTCTCACCCTCTCGGGATCCCTTTCCTATCTGCCAAGGCTCCCCAACTGAATGTCATGTCCCAGATCTCACAATGCCACTCAGCTGGGAAGATGAAACGTAATTTTTTTGCTTGGGGAGGATGTTCTGGCTAGAGGACAGATGTTAGCGTTCAGCCCTGGCCTGTTTGATGCTAATTATCTAAATCGTCTCTACAGGTGGGTAGCATGCTTCCCATTTGGGTGGGAAGGGGCGCCCTCCCAGCCTCCTCCCCCTAAGACGGTATCTTAGTACAGGAGGTGGGATGTGGCTCGTGTGACCCTGTGGCCCCAGGCTGGTCCTTGGGCATGTGCTGGTAGCAGCTGGTCGCAGGGTGGTGCCCCTGGTCCACCTTCCACCAGGTGTCTGGCTGACCCCCTCCATCCCTGCAGCCTGCAGCCAGCCAGTCTACTGTGTTGCCACTGCTGACCCGGCTCCCGCTGGCCGCGGGTCATGAGATGGCCTTGTCCTCCATGTGGCCCCTGGGCGGCACCTGACCCCTGGCCTTTGCCTTCGGGTCGCCTTGCATCCACGGCGGGTCTGATTTCTTTCCCCCAGGAGGCCACACTGCAGCCGGAGAGCCCCTGGCCGACCCCTCTGGAGAGGGACAGTTGTTGAGGGGACAGTGCCCCAGGAGGCGGGGGCAGCCTGGAGGCAGCTTCATCCCAGAGACCCACGTGACTAGCAGAACGAAAGTCTGTGCTCCAAATGATTGCCCCCCACCAGGGTCTGCCTCAGCTTGCCCCAAACACTTCTCCCTTTCCCGTGCCAAAGTGCAAAGAGGGAAAATTGGGGGTGATGCCCTTCTCCCCACCCTCCCTCTTTTCTTCCCACCAGCTCCTGGGTCCAGGACAAGAGTGGATGCATCACACCCTTTGCTACCGTCCAGTATCCAGCCTCGTGCCTGGGGGCTTGGGTGGAAAGGGGACGTCTTGGGAGGTCCATGATGGGAAAGCATAAAAAGGAGGTGGGAGGAAAGACAGGAAGTGGAAAGGGCGATTCCCAGGACCCCAGCCCCACCCGCACGGCGGCATCTTGCCGTGTGATCCTAGTCTGTGTATCAGTAGCGGAAGAATGCTTCATTCCTTCTCTTGGCATCCTTTTGAAGCATTTCCCAAGCTCCTCCTGAAACATGGAGGCTTCGAGCCAGATGGGGCGAAGGTCAGAGCTTCAGAAAGGAAGAGAAAATCTCGTTGATAATCTATAAAAAGTACAGTATCGCAGCAAATCTCCGAGTCTACGACTGGGAGTCCTGGGAACTAGTGTGTGTGGAGCTGGGGCACGTCGTCCTCGCCTCCGCTGCCCCCCCACCCCCGCCGCCAACCCCTGTCCTGGCCTCCCCGTGGCATTCACTGAACTGAGCTAAGGACTGTGCGGCCCCTGGAAGCAGGTGTGCTCTGAGTGCCCTCTGTTCCCTGGGTCACCTGCTTTCCCATCTCAGCTCAGACGCCCAGGTCTGCATGTCCCAGGGAGGCGTGAGAGGTGGAGGCTCTTTATCAGTCATTCCAGGCATCTTATGGAGCACCCAGCACCAGTTTGGACCTTGCATGCCATAAGCACTAATAAGCGCTCATTTGTTTAATAAGAATAACTGACACCTGTGTAGTGCTGTATAGCAGCGGGGCTCAGAGAGGCCAATGTTTTGTCCAGCGTCACACAGCTAGTGAATAGAAAGGCTATGATTTAACCTTTATCTTTTGACCACAAGCCCCATCCATGCTCCACAGCCTCCTCTAACCTGGACAGGGACAAAGTGGCCCATCTGAAGCAGATGGTCAGTGATGAGGGAAACCTCACCTCTTGGGGGTAAGTGAGGTGTGGCCCGTCACAGGGCCCCTCAGCTGCATGTGGAAGGAGAGGAGCCCTAGAAATTTTTCACACAGTTTTGTTTGTTTGTTAATTTTTGGCTGCACCGTGCAGCACGTGGGATCTTAGCTCTCCGACCAGGGATTGAACCTGCACGCCCTGCATTGGAAGGTGGAGTCTTAACCACTGGACTGCCAGGGAAGTCCCCACACAGTTATGTTTTGGTAAAATTTACTATATTCTACATCAGGCCACGTGACGCTGGCGTGGCCGCAGGTATCCAGGGGATCTGGCTAAGGGAAGGTGGAGTTGGTGGCACCTGCAGTGTGGGCTTCGTGGGGAACATTTATGTGATTCACAGCCCCCATTTCTGTGTGTAGCTGTGATCAAGGCAAACCATCTCGGCAAAGGAATGCCTTTCAGGGGTGTTCCCAGCACCGACTGTGCCAACTCACCCGGCATCGTGAAGAAAAATGCAGGCCCAGAGTTGTAAGGAAATCGGAACATCTTCAGAATTGAGTGGGGAGTGGGCAGTGGAGAAGAAATAGGTTTGAAATGTACATAACCGGAAGCTAGTCTATGGGGAGATTCCGTTCTCACGGCTGCCTAGTCGGAACAGTTCTCATCTGTAAGAAATATGCTTGAAATTGCAGCATGTATAACCGTAAAACATGCTATACCTTTTTTTTCTACAGGAGACGTGCAAAAATGCAATTTATCAGACTTCCTGTCCTTGTAGGCATAATCCTGACTGGCAAAATGTCTGGGTGAAGTTGCATGTGTTATGCATCTCAGCTATTGCTATTGTTAAATAAATCTGATCATTGAGGAGAAACCAAGTTCTCTTTCTACTTTCTCTATAGAAACACTACAAAATGTGCAAAAACAAGAACTTGGGGTCACACGGTTGGGGTGGGAGGTGCAGCTGGCCTCTGTCACACACGGGCGGTGCAGGCTCGTCAGGTCACTAAGTCTCTCTGATTCTCCCTGTTCGCATCTGTGAAGTGGGGACAATACTAGTCCCTGTCTCCTGGGTTCACAGAGCATTCAGTGAGATGATCGTGCTGCGCTTAGCTGTACGTGGCCCACAGCAAGGACTCAGTAAGTGCTTACAAGGACTCAGTGAGTGCTTACTATTTGTATGTGCCGGATCTTTGGGAGGACTGGGGAGGGATGCACCCAGCCTCTGGTCCCCTTTCCTAGGACCCCGCAATTTACTACTGTCCCTCTTTGCAGGACAACTTGGTTAATCAAGGAGACCTCCACTCCAGAGACCATAGGGGTCCCCTGAGTCTCTCCTATCAGGTCCTCACCATCCCAGAACATCTAAGGGCTGATCTAGGACCTACACTGGCCAGGTCCCTCTCTCCCAGGATGCTGAATCATGAAGAGAGCAGGAGAAGCACTTGGAAGTCATCCATTCCCACAGCGGCAACCTGACACTTAACTCAGATCTCGTCCCATTGCCTGTTCTGTTTTCAAGCTGGTTCTCCAGTCTGGGTGTTGATTGCCCAAGCTCTCCGTTCTCTTTCCAGATGATGTCCTTTATTACTTGACCACAAGAGGTTTTTGTTGCCTGCACCAAGGAACACTAACTTACACAAGAACTCCTATCAGTAATGCAACAGGTCTTCCAGTTAATAACGCAGGGCTCTGAGAACTGAGACCTGGCTGAGGGTGCAAGGCTGGTAAAGCGTGAGCCCCAAAACTCCCCGCCGCGTGGGCTCCCCGTAAGTCCCTGGAGGCGGCCCCGCGCTGTGTCCATGAGGTCATATGTTGGTGGAATTTGCAAGGTGATGTATTTTAACCAGGACTGGTTACCCCTGATGCCCTATTCCTCACCAACTTCCCTTGTCACTATCCCCTTCATGGCAGTGACGTTGGAGTGGCCACGGAGGGACATTTGGGGGAGGCTGAGTCGGAGATAGCTTCAGTTTGGGTTTAGTGACAGATGTTTGCGTAGTTCACACTCACTCCTATGTAACGATGGTTCCCAAGTCTGATTAATGGGTTGACCAGTGTCAGGACACAAAGGGTCTGGGTGGTGGAGGAGAAATGTACAAGCCAGGAGCCAGACTATGGGAGAGCCTTCCAATCACCAGATTCATAGCATTTTTTTTTTTTTTTTTTTTGTGGTACGCGGGCCTCTCACTGTTGCGGCCTCTCCCGCTGTGGAGCACAGGATCCGGACATGCAGGCTCAGCGGCCATAGCTCACAGGCCCAGCTGCTCCACGGCACGTGGGATCCTCCCGGACCGGGGCACGAACCCGCGTCCCCTGCATCGGCAGGCGGATTCACAACCACTGCGCCACCAGGGAAGCCCCAGATTCATAGCATTTTAAATGGAGGAATCCGTTCTCCGGGATGCTAAGCTGTAGCAAACAACTATGATGCACCCTAGATCCCATCAGAGAAAAAGCTGTGGCCCACACTGCTGTTGACCTCTGCAGTGTTTCCAGTGGTTATAGGTGTTCTTTCCGAGTTCATCTTGTAATTGGAATATTTTAACACACAGCCCAGCCTGGCTTCTCCTCTTAAAGAGCTATCATAACGAGAGAGTAGCCCATCACAAAGCTGTTCAAGCCTTATGTCACGGGGACGGTGACATTTTCAAGACTCCAAAATATATATTTGAAAACTGGATGATGTGGAAGAAAAACAGAAACTGTAAATAACAAAAAAAGATTGTTCAAATGTGGAAAGATATTTTGGAACATTTCCAAAAATAGTGAAAAATTATAAACTCTTGGCTTTAATAGATATGAAAATGACCTTCTTTTGTTACCTTTTTGTTTGTTTGTTAAAGTTCAGATTAAAATTAATGAACTATGGTTAAAAAGGGATAAAGATAAATAATGAAGTCGATAGAAGTTAGTTTGAAACTGAGAGCTGAATTGTAGTCAAAAGTAATTCCCCAAGAGGAAATCATTTTAGAATAGAAGAAATGAATGAGCTCTTGGATCCTGATAATCTGATTGATGAAGAGAAACATGTCTTAAGAACACATTGGGGGGCTTCCCTGGTGGCGCAGTGGTTAAGAATCTGTCTGCCAATGCAGGGGACACGGGTTTGAGCCCTGGTCCGGGAAGATCCTACATGCCACGGAGCAACTAAGTCTGGGCACCACAGCTACGGAGCCTGCGCTCTACAGCCCGCAGTCACAGCTACTGAGCCCGCGTGCCACAACTACTGAGCCTGCGCTCTAGAGCCCGCGAGCCGCAACTACTGAGCCTGTGCTCTAGAGCCTGTGTGCCACAACTACTGAAGCCCGTGGGCCTAGAGCCCGTACTCCTCAACAAGAGAAGCCACCGCAACGAGGAGCCCACACACCACAACGAAGAGCAGCCCCTGCTCGCCGCAACTAGAGAAAGCCTGTGCACAGCAACAAAGACCCAACGCAGCCAAAATAAATAAATAAACTAATTAGTTAAATTAAAATTTTTAAATGTATAGGACATTACCAATAATGAATTGTGGAGCTAAGAAACATTTTTAAACTATTAATATTACAAAATAAATGTTGATCAGCCATGCTAAAAAAAAAGGATCAAATTATCTTTCAGCTCTCTATGGAAAATATTCAACACTATTGACGTATTTAAAGGCTATCAAAGAATGTGCAGCCAAAAAAGGTAGGAAAAAACACTGCAGATATTTTTCTCTATTTTGTATTATTTGTGGTATTTGTGA